TAGCTCGTCTCTCCTTGTTTTCGTTTCTGCGGCGGGAGGACACGGGAAATCTAAAGTGTCCTAGGCATTAAAAGCTGCAGAGAGATGTTTTATGTTTGCTTATTAGTCGTAAACTACCCTGGCAATGAAATGCATAATTGGTTGTCCTTCTCTGACCTGTATGTCCTTCTTGTGCTTGTTAGTTTCCTTCACTTTGGTCCATGACTCACCGTGATGCCATTCACAATGGAAAAAACACTGTCCGGTCTGCGCCTTGAAATAGGCTATTTTGTGATTCCTAAGGCTTCCATTAGTTGATTTTCAGAAGCAAATTGGCAGACTTTCCTTCCTTGTACATCTTAACCTGGAAACTCCACTGCAATCTTTTCCACAACATAGCAATAGGCAGGCCTCCACTAAGAGATTGGTGGTGGCTGTGCATGGGTCTCCCCCCTGGAAAGAAAGACTTCTCCCATTGAACAACCAATGCTTCCTACCTTCCATGCATGTTGGTTAGGTGTCTTCAAGCCACTTCCAACTCAAAGCAAACCTAGAACAGAGGGAAATGGTGCCTGGTCTTATGCCATCCTCATAATTATTCCTATGTTGGAGCTCAATTTTGCAGCCAGTCTTATCAATCCATCCATCTTTCTCCTTTACAGTGAACTTTTACTTTATAAAGCATGGTTCTCTAGGGACCTGTCCCTTCTTGTAACCTCTCCAAAGTATTTGAGACAAAGTCTCATCATCCTCACCTAGAAGGAGTTTTCTGGCTGTACTTCTTCCCAAACACATTTGTTTGTTCTTTTGGTTGTTGTTGTTGTGAGGTGCCATTAACTTGGCTCCAGATCATAGGGACCCCATGTCCAACAGAACTAAACACTGCCCCATCCTGTGCCATCCTCCTAATCACTGTCGTGCTTCAGCCCAGTGCTGTAGCCACCATGTCAACCCACCTCCTTGATGCTATTCCTCTTTTTCACCAAGCCTCTCCTTTACCAAGCATGATGTCCTTTTCTAGGAACTGCACTCTCGTGATGACCTGTCCGAAGTCCTGAGCCTGAGTCCTGCCCTATTGTTTCTAAGGAGCATTCTGCTTGTCCTTCATCCAGAACAGATTTCTTTGTGCTTCTGAAGTCTAGGTACTCTTCACTAGTATCATAATTGAAATGCCTCAATTCTTCTTCAGTTTTTCCGATTCACTGTCCAACGTCCACATTTCATTTGAGATAATTTCACATATACATGTGAAAGTTGGACATAGAATAGGGAGGACTGAAAATGAATCAATGCATTTGAATTGTGCTGGAGAAGAATATTGAAAGTACCATGGACTACTAAAAGGACAAACCAATCTGTGTAGGAAGAAGTAAGGCCAGAATGCCCCTTAGACACAAGAATGGGAAGACTTAGTCTTACATACTTTGGGCACGTTGCCTGGAGAGACCATTCCCTGGAGAAGGACATCATGTTTGGTAAAGTGGAAGGGCAGTGAGAAAGAGGAAGGCCTCCAACAAGCTGGATTCCCACGACTGCATCAATGGGCTCAGGCATAGGAACCATTGTGAGGATGGTGCGCACGGGGTCACTATGGGTTGGAGCTCATTGGAAATGCTATGGTTTGTGTTAGCTACACCTTGGTCTTCAAAGTATGTGCTTGCTCTTCAACACTTCAAAAGGTCTCATGCAGCATATTTACCCGATGCAATCCATTATTTGACTTCTTGTTTTCAACTGCCATGAGCATTGATTATGGATCCAAGCAAAATGAAGTCCTTGATAACTCGCATCTCTTCTCCATCTGTTATAATGTGTATTGGGCCAGTTGTGAGAATTTTTGTTTCCTTTACATTGAGTTGGATTTCAGACTTGAGGGTACTGTCCTTCATCCTCATCAGTCAACAAGTGCCTCAAATCCCCCTTGCTTTAAGCAAACAGGGTGTGTCATCTGCATATCGAAGATTGCTAATAAGCCTTCCTCCAGTCCAATTGCCTTGTTATTTTTCATATAGTCAAACTTCTCAGATTATTTGCTCAGCATCTAGATTGAATAAGTGTGGTGAAAATCTGCAACCCTGATGCACACCTTTACCAATATTAACTCAAGTCAGCAGGATCTTGTTCTGTTTATAAAGCTGCGTCTAGGATGTACACTGGTACAGATAGGATGTACACTGGTACAGATAGGAACTGAAAATACAGGGAATCCAGGGCAGATGAGCCCTACAGGACCAGTGGTGTGAGTGGCGAACAGGGAGGGTAGAGGGAGAGTGAGTAGGAAAGAGGGAACCGATTACGAGGAACTGTGTGTGACCTCCTCCCTGGGGGACAGACAACCGAAAAGTGGATGAAGGGAGACATCGGACAGGGCAAGATATGACAAAATACCAATTTATAAACTATCAAGGGCTCATGAGGGAGGGGGGAGCGGGGAGGGAGGGGAAAAATGAGGACCTAATGTTGGGGGTTTAAGTGGAGAGAAAATGTTTTGAGAATGATGTACAAATGTGCTTTACAAAATTGTTGGGTGTATGGATTGCGATAACAGTTGTATGAGCCCCTAATAAAATGTTTTAAAAAAATAAAAATAAATAAGGTTTAGGCTAATAGATAAATAAATAAATAGATAGATAGATAAATAAAGCTGCCTCTTGTTCCATGAACAGGTTTTGCATGAGCAAAATGATGTATTCTGAAATTCACATTATTCTCAATGTTATCCGTAGTTTATTATGATCCACACTGTCAAATCCCTTTGCATAGTTAATAAAAAACAAACCAACATATTTCTGGTATTCTCTGCTTTCAGCCAATCCATCTGCCATCGACAAGGATATCTGTGCCATATCCTCTTCCAAACTTGGTTTGAATTTCTGACAGCTCCCTGTGGATGTGTTGATGCAACTATTGTTGAATTATCTTCAATGATGCTTTAGAATTCTAATTACGTGTAATGTTACCCATAGTTTGTTCTGATCAACATCCATCTAAATATTAGGTATTAAATTAAAGCATATGGGTAGGGAAGACTATGCACACATTTTAGAGTACCTACCATGACTTTGGAATCATTCTAAGTATTTTCCTTTTAATTGTGAACTAGCTCTCATAATAACTCTGGGCCATTTGGAAGCTCATCCTGAATAAAGTTTAAAGAAGTACAATTGATTTATTTTTCTTAAGTTACCTATGTTATTGTGTGGATTCAACCAAAGTATTGGGTTTTTACTCCAGAGATTAAATATTCTAAGAGCAAATATTGAGAGAGCCCTGAATAAAGTTGTAGGCTGGTATTAGGCATGCAAAGATTCACTCTTAAGATACATGTGGGTGGCCTTCTTGCCTGAGGTTTCTACTTATTAGTGGCCACACCAGTTTACACTCCCTGCCCCAGAAACCACACAATCAAGCTTGAGTTGTACAAATCAGGAAGAAATACTATTCCTTCATTTGCAATTAGCCACCTTATTGTTGTTGCTAGGTACTGTCCAGTCAACTTGCAACCCATAGCAATCCCATGTGACTGAGTAGGACCTCTCCGTGGGGTTTTCTAGGCTGTGCTCACGATCAAAGCAGATCAAAGCCAGCCTGGGTTTCCTCACCTCCAGCTGAGGAATATGCTGTCATTAGTTGTCATTAGTACTCAAACCCTTACCCATCGCACCATCAGGGCTCCTTTGCCAACGAGAAAGGAGAGGAAACGGAAATGATCAAGACTGTGATATCCTTCTGGGGTTTGCGGTTGTCTAAAGGACCTGGGTAGAAACTCAATGAGGATTCCTAGAGGATTCTGCAATCATTTGAGAGATGATGGTTTGCCCCATGATGATATAATTTATTTTATGTGAATTCGCAATTATTACCCTGGTATGCCATGGAACCTTATATGACTTCACGTCATAAATGTGTGTAAGTGTGTGTGTGTGTGTATGTGTGTGTGTGTAACCCCAAACTTAGAAGACATCAAAAAAGACCCCCGCTTTTTTTTCAGAAAGCAATTCTTTTAAGCTTTAAAATATTTTTATTTTCTATACTTCCCATCTGTGCCTAGAATGTTGCAAATATTATAGTATCAAGAAACGTCTCGTTGATTACATCTAGTCGCTTAAGTAGATCTCCCAGATAGATACTCTTCCTCTTGTTTAGACATGAGGGAATTAAAACTCAGAAGGTTCCATAGGTTGCTTGAGTTTGTGCAGCTATTTCGAGACAGAGCCAAGATTCCTACCCACAAGTCTTCCAAACCTGTGGCCTCTCCTCTAGACAATAGGTTCCCAAACTTTTGTGACCTACCTCCCACTTTTCAGAAAAAAATTTTTTTAATCACTCAGTGCCCCCTTGGCCATGGAAAGCTGTTGTATTTTAGTCCTCATAGTTCAGGATAAAATGCCGGCATCTGTTTCCGCAGGCCCCCCAGAGGTTAGTCCTGCCTCGTTGGGGAAACACTCTTCTAGACCATCTCCACCACTGCATAGGATTACACCTGGACAACAGGGACCTCTCTGAGCCACCAAGGGAAAGCTTGCTTACATTGAGTAGAATTTAGTTTAAACAAAGCAGTTGGTCTAAAATAGTTATAATTAAGTCTTAAGGTTTAAAAAAGTTCAATTGACTTTATTTGCCCAGAATATCCTATCATCATCCACAGGCTACATGGATAACTGAGATATTAGAACAATTTTGTAAAATATTTTGAGGGTTTGTTTCCTGATTGGAAGTTATTTATATATTTATTGGATGTGGTTTGTTTTATCTGATCCAAGATTGCTTTTCTCTCAAATTTCCATATTACCAAGTATGGATATACATCTCTTTTGAGTCTTTATAAGCCGTCTGCTGCTAAACTCCAGTCTTTCCCTCTCAGTTTAAACGTAAGTGTTGCCAGAGTATTTTTACATCATTTAGAGGTTAAGTCAAATGATGGATTTTGATTGTGTACTCACCTCCTGAGAATTAGCTGGATGGCAGTAGGCATGCACAACACTATATTTACTTTCATATTTCATTGTTTTTAAATCCAGGTCCCAAGTCATTTGCAAAGGCGTTTTCCAGTGGCTTTCTCATTGGGGAAGTTCTGCACAAGTTTGAGCTGCAGGAGGATTTTCCTGAATTTTCAGAAAGCAGGTTAGTGAGATCATTCTTCACTCTGAAAACAGACCAGTTACTTTGGCATTTAGAAAGTCTCCAACCACCAACACTAAGGCTAAAGTATCTTTGATAATAAGGCCCCTCCCAAGCCCAAACAGCCACGCTGTGCATGACCAAGGCAACTGATCATATTAGGCAACTGATGCTTCCTTGGATTGTTTGCTGTGCCCGGATGAAGATGAGAAAGTTACATGGTTGTAGAAAGACCTCTTCTCCAGGTGGGACCCATTTACAGCTGCACCCATAGGCCATGTTTCTTCATTGTTTCACGAGAAGTGACATAGCGTGTAGTATCTCCAGTGGTCGATTAGTATGTTCTATTTTAAAACTATAAACTATGAGGATCCGTCCAAAAGTACTGTTATAAAAAATCATGGAACACTTTATTAAACAAAAATATCAAAATATGAAACTAATTTTTCTCAACATACCCTCTGTCTAGATCTATATGCATTTGAGCCTTTCCCGAAAGAAACTTGGGGCGCTCTTTTACTTACTCTGTATCCACTCAGCAGTCCTGGCATCCTCCAGGGATTCAAATCCCAGTCCTTTAAAATAGTCTTTGAGTTTGGGGAAGAATAAGATACCCCAAGGGGGAGGTCAGGGCTGTACATTGGATAGGAGAAGGTTTCTCAATGAATTTCACATAGGCCATCACTTGTAACCTTCCAGGAATGAGCAGGTGCATTGGCATGATGGAAAATAATTTCTCCATTCTACTTTCCTGGCCTTTTTCACATCAATGCAGGTTGGGTTTTCTTCAAACTTCTTCAGGATAAGTCCCTATGACCTTCCTGTGTCCTCCAAGAAAATCTATCAAGTTACCCCTTCAAAGACTAAAAGCTGTGGCCATAGCTTTCTGAGTTGGCCTTTCTGCATTGCATTTATCCGGCCTACAAGACTCCCTCAGAAGCCACTCTTCTGACTGGACCTCAATCTGTTGATCATATTAGTGGATCTAAGACTTCCCTAGTGGTGATCTATTCCATAAAATCATCTTTATTAGCTTTGATCTTATTTACAAATTGATGGGGAAAAATTAGGAAAAGAAAGGTCGATGGAAAGAGCAGCTCTTTTAGCTAGCTGATCTTCACAAAAGCTACTGGGGACGAGATGTTCGCTTAGAGAATCCTGAACCATATGATATTCCAGCTTCCGTAGCGATGACATCAATGGCAATCCTAGTCTTCTAGCAGTTTCTGGGCTTTGGCAACAGTGTCTTCATTTGACAAGGTCTTCCTTCTCTTGGCTCAAATTTGAGGTCTTCCCGACCTTTCTGTAAATGCTTTATCCATCTCAAAACTGTCGTTTTATATGAGGAAATTCCTGTAAACTTGTAGCAAAGCTTCAATAATTTGGAAAGAGGCTCACTTTTTTTTTAAATTTGACATTAGCCCTGACCTCAAAGTTATTTTTTTTCCCATGGCATAGAAAGTATCCTTGTTTTAAAAGGACCCTATGAGACTAAGGGAGCCCAGGTGGTGTAGTGGATTATGCTTTGGCTTGCTAATCACAAGGTCAGTAGTTCAAACCTACCAGTAACTCTGAAAGAGAAAGATGAGGTTTTCTGTAAATCTGTATAAATTTAAACCTTGGAAACTCCCAGGAACATATAATGACATATACTTTACAAATGATAAAATTCACCATTTAAAGTAATTACTCTGAAAACTTCCACTCAAATTACAATGAAAAGCTTGTAGAAAATGTACGTAGAGTTCAGTGGTTTTTAGTGTATTCACAGGTTTCATCACCATCACCACTACCTGTTTGAACATTTTATATCACACTAATAGGACCCCTTGGTAGCCGATGTCTCCTCCTTCTCCCTCTAATACTCTGTGCCCAAACTTCTTTATTCCTATTTATTACCAAATAATTACAATTACATGATGAGATATTATTTTGTTTATTCACTCATCAATCGATGTCCATTTGAGTTTATTGTACCTGTTGGTGATTGTAAATAATGCTGCCCTGCGTGTGTGTTGACGTGGCTTTGTGTGGACACGTGTTCATTTCTCTTGGGTTTAAAGCTAAGAGTAAGATCAGTGGGTCACATTTTCACTCCAGGAACCCTGGTGGTACCACAGTTCAGTCCTTGACTGCTAACTGAAGAGTCATTGGTTTGAACCTGCCCAAGAGAGACCAGCAATATGGCAATCTGCGTCCCTAATGATGACAACACAGAAAGCTCTATGAGCTTCTCCTCTGTCAGATAGGATCTCGATAATTCAGAGCCAATTCTGTGACAAACAGCAGCAACAACATGGTCACTCTATATTTTGAGGAATTGCCACACTGTTTCCAAAGTGGCTTTACTAGTTTGCCTCCACACTAGCAATGCACGAGGGTCCTGTTTCTCTATATCCTTGTCAATATGTGTTATTATCTGTCTTTTTTATTATGATCCTACTTCTTCTGTTCCACTCTGCTGAATGTTGTAATCATGAAAAGGTGTTGGTTTTTTCAGCTATATTCTCTGTATCAATTGAGGTTATGAATTGGGCTGCTAACCCTAAAATCAGCAGTCTGAAACCCCTCCCCCTGCCAGCCACTAGGGGAGAAAGATGAGGCTTTTTGCCCACATAGAGATTTACAACTTTGGAAACCCAAAGGGGGCAGTTCTACTCTGTCTTATAGGGTTTCAATGAGCCAAAATTAATTTGCTGGCCGTGAGATTTTTGTTGATTGGCTGGTTGGTATACTTTTCAGTAGTGGGTGTGAGTTAATATCTCATTGCACTTTTGATGTACTTTTTACTATCGACTGCGGGTTTTGAGCATCTTTGCCTGTGCTTATAGCCTTTTGCATTTCTTCACAAAAGACATTTTTATTCAAATCATTTGCCTGTTTTTAAATTACTGTTAAATTGTGAATGCTGTTTTGAGATCTTTGGATGATCAGTCCCTTTTCAGATATGGGATTTGCAAATATATTATTTTCCATTCTATATGTTGTCTTGTTGCTTTCTTGATGCTATCCATTGACAAAAGTTTTAAGGTTTTATAAAGTTCAATTTATCTATTTTTCCCCGTTTTTGGTGCCCGCCATCTCAAAAAAAATTCATTGCCTAATCAAGGTCACAGACATTTGGTCTTATATGTTCGTCTAAGAGTTTTGAAATTTTGTGGCTACAGTTAGGTCTCGATCCATCCCTGGCATATTGAATTTTCCTCTACAGTATGAGGTCTATATTATATTGCATGTGGATGGATATCCAGTTGATTGAGAAGGTTACTCTTTTTCCTTTGATCTTGGAATTCTTGTCAAAATCAATTGATTATCAATTTTAGGGTTACATTCTGGACTCTCAATTCCATTCCAACTCCCTCTTGATCCATGTACAAGTTCCACAGGAATACAATGAAATGTTCCAGAATTTCCATTCTTCTCAAGGTTATTGATTGTTATGATCCACAGCATTGTGCAAATGGAACAAGGGAACACTGTGTGGTTTAAAACAAGGAAAGATTTGTGACAGGGTGTGTCCTGCCAACAGGCTTATTCAATCTGTATGCTCAGCAAACCATCAGAGAAGCTGGATGTTATGAAGAAGAATGTGGCATCAGGAATGGAGGAAGGTTTATTAACAACCTGCTGTATGCAGATGACACAACTTTGTCTGCTAAGAGTGAGGAGGACTTAAAGTATTTGCTGATGAAAATCAAAGATTGCAGCCTCCATTATGGATTTCAACTCCATGTAAAGAAGACCTAAATCCTCAAAACAGGATCAATAGGTAACTGCATGACAAATGGAGAAAAGTTTGAGGTTGTCAAGGATTTTGCTTTGCTTGGATCCACAATCAATGCTCCTGGAAACAACAGTGGAGTTAGCAAAAGACATGTTGCATTAGGTAACTGCTGTACAAGACCTCTTTAGAATGCTGAAAAGCAAGGATGTTACTTTGAGGACTAAGGTAAACCTGGCCCAAGTCATGGAATTTTCAATGGCCTCATATGCATATGAATGTTGGACGTTGAATAAAGAAGGTTGAAAAGAATTGCCGCATTTGGATTGTGGTGCGGGAGAAGAATATTGAAGGTACCATCAACCACCAAAAGAACAGACAAGTCTGTCTGGGAAGAAATCTGACATACTTTGGACAGGCCATCAGGCGAGAATGGTCCTTGGAAAAGGACATCATGCTTGGTAAAGTAGACGGGCTGAGGATAAGAGGAAGACCCTTGATCAGATGGATTGCCTTGGTTGGCTGCAACAGTGGGCGCAAGCCTTGGAGCCATTAGGACTATGGCTCAGGAGTGGGCCGTGTTTGCTTCTTATGTAAGGGCCCCTATAGATTAGAGATGACTTGATGGCACCTAATGCCAACAACAATTCTATTCCAATGATTTATATGCCTTTCCAAATGCCAGCACCCCACTTTTTTGATTGTTCAATAGAATATACTTTGAAATTAGGAAATGGGAAAACGAAGTGTTCTATTTATTTTTCTTTCTTTTCAGATTACTTTAGCTATCCTGGTTTCTTTGCGTTGCTAGATATATTTTGGAAATAGCTTGCCACTTTCCTGCAAGGTGGGAGAGGAGAGATCTGGAATTTTTAAGACCATCATTCACGAAGGTCACTGAAATGACAGGAAAGACAGGATCAAGTGGATGCCAGAAAAGATGCTGAAACCTGCTCTGAGTCCTAGAGCGGCTAAAGAAAACAGAAGACAGGATGAAGTCACGGAGCTGAATCGAACATTCAAAGGAGAGCTTAAGAATGCAAAGTAAAATAGTACCACACAATCTGTGAAGATCTAGAGGGAAGGACAACTTGGCATATCTTGAAATGAAAGAACTGAATAAAAATGTTCAAGCCTCAAGTTAAAATATTGAAAGATTTTAAGGGCAAACTAGTTGGGGGTGGGGGTGAAGCAACTCCATGTGATGGCCTGGATTTGGCAAGTTGCACAGAGGATGATTTTCATATGTTTCCTGGTATCTTTGGGCAGGTATGTACCCATA